TAAACTAAATAAAAGTAATGCTTATGTTTGGTTTTAAAAGGGAAATGAATACTTAATCATTCTTACACATGGGTCTAAAACAAGAGCTTAAAATGCCACTAATAAGCAGTGTTTTGCAATGATGATGTAAGAGATTAAAAATGAGCCACATGGAAGTCACAAATTCATTTATTAAAAATGCTCCTGAAAGTATGTTGCTGGAGTTTTTAAACTACAAGAAGCCAAAAAGAAAATTCTACATATTACTGATGTTTGTATGCCAAGCATTGGGGAAATTGCCATTTAAAACAAAAACCATGGTAGCTGTTTCTGGGGTTTAGACCTTGGCATTTCATCTCTGGGGTAGATGGTCTTTTTATGAAAAACATCTTTAAGGGAGCTATGGACTGAATGTTCGTATGTTGAAATCCTATTCTGCCCTGCCACCCTCCTCTCCTTCCCTCATTGTGATGGTACCAAGAGGTGAGGCCTTTGGGAGGTGAGTAGGATTAGATGAGTTCATGAAGGAGGAGCCTCATGAATGGGATCAGTGCCCTTTTAAGTGTTAGGAGAGAGGTTGCTGCCCTCTGCTCTCCATCATGTGAGGATGCAAGAAGTCAGCAGTCTGCAACCTGGAAGAAGGCCCTCTCCCCAGCATGCTGGCACCCTGCTCTCAGACTTCCAGCCTCCAGAATTGCGGGGAATAAATTTCTGTTACTTATAAGCCACCTAGTCTATGGTAATTTTTTATAGCAGTCAGAACAGACTAAGACAAAGTGTGTCAGACACTCCTAATTTCCTACTCCTTGTCTATTCTTCTCGCTTTCCTTAGTTATAGAAATCCAACCTCTTGTTGGGCAACAATGCCCAGCTAAAATACTACTCAGCCTTCTTTAGATCTAGGTGTGCCCCAAGGTACCACTCTATCAATTAGACCTAAACGGAAGTGTGCTGGAAATGTTGGGAGAAGAATCGGCTTTCCCTCATACAGGCAACACCCGTTCTCCCTCCTTCTAGTCTGCAATTTGGCTGTAGCTCCTGAGGAACAGCAGCCTGTTTGTGACTCATTAAACAACAGGCTTGATGATAAAAGTCAACATGACATTGATGGCAATGAGGACGGCAAGGAAAGAAAAGCAGCCTGGGTACTTGATGGCATTACTGAGCTGCTGTGTCAATCTTGAACTCCCTACCAGTGGATTTTTTATTAAGAGAAACAGCAAACTCTCTACATGTTTATGCCAGTTGGGTTTTCTGTTATTTGCATCTGTATAAATTATTAACGAGTTTGATGGGCTTTTTTAATCAAAGGTGGAGACCCAAGACAGTTGAATTGCTTGTAATAAAGTAAAAGGAATCTTGTATTTAAAGAGACTGTTCTGGAGAGATGTGAGGGGGATGTGGGGTTAGAGTAGCAAATCCAGGGTGACTGGAAGAGACCTAAGGAAAGACATAATCAGTGAGAAATTCCCTAAGGTTGCAACTGACCAACAGTTTTAGGAAAAGTTATATCTGACATCAATTTTGAAATTGTTTCCTGTGCTGTAAGTTGGTTCTTATACTATAATAACCATTTGTTACCTCTCAACCTAAAAGTCTGCTACACAGAACAGTCTTATGTTGATGAAATGAAACACTCGTGTCCAGTGAGGGGCAAGGTACTGAAATAATTTGAGGACATCAGCCATAGTGGAGAGAGCTGGCTCTGAACTTTTCGTAACATATAAGATGGTAGGTCATAACATTTTGTTTGGTTATTGAAAGAAATGTCAATCCTGCAACGACAGGCTGGAGAACCTAAGGATATATTATCCTTGAATTGGAAGCCTATTGGTTGACAAGGAAGCCTTCAACAAATATCTGGAGGGTGCTGATGTTACACCCTGTGATTCTTTCACAGAAGAGTCAGTACCTAGGATTGTTGTTTTCTTTTCCCTAAATGTCCTTTTATAGCTTGAATTGGAACTCAGAACTCATATTTCTATAAAAATATAACAAAAGGGGGTTGCATTTTCTCGTCAGGTCACAAAAGCTTATTTATATCACTTAACCTCACTAGATTAGAATACTAACATTCTTTATGTTTTAAATGCAGACTTGTTATTAAACTCAGCAACTTAACATAACTTTATATGTTTTGCTCTGTTCACTGTTTGATTTAAGTCAGATAGCACTTCTCCAAGCAGCAACTAAGGAATCTGGACTCCTTCTAGCATGTGATCCAATATCTGCACATCCTTTGCTTCTAAGCCTGTAGACAGAGGAGCTGATTATCTCATGGGAAACTTTAGGGATCAAGCCTGGGCATGACACACATTACTCCTGCCCACATTCTGCTGGACAGACTAATCACTGGACTCCAGCCTAACTGCAAGGGAGGCTGGGAAACACAGTCTTCCTTTGTGGCCAGGGAAGAGGAAAAAGGAACATGGGCATCTTGCACCTACTTTGCAAGGTTTTGTGAAGATTAAATAACTGCACATTCTAGGTTCTTGTCAAGTGTGTCTTTTCCTTCCTTTGGAATCAGCTAAGTACATACTGTGGTGGCAGGCTGCAGTGGTGGTGGGTTCTGGTGCACAGGACTCCTAGTGAAAGGGTTTTGGTAACGAAAATCAGATGCAGATGCTGGTCGAGTTAAGCAGAGGTTGTGGTAGCCTGAAAGACAGGTAGAGAATGAGAACATAAGGAACTGTGAGTTAGATGCTCTTGAAAGGGCTCCTAGACATTTAGGACAAATTCAAGGAGAGGAGAAAGAGGGAATAAGGGTTTTGGCTGGAATATCAGAGACTTCCAGGGAAGACATGGTTGGGCAAAGGAAGAAGGAAGCAGCGTCTGAGAAACGTACAGGTTGCTTTCGGAAAACAGAGGAATGCTTAGCACCTCCCCCAACCACTGAAGCCACACGGAGTCAAAGGTGAGTGAAAAAGCCACTGAAGGAAAGGAGATCACCCTTTACTGAAAATATATAACGTTCTTAGTAGACTTAAAAATATAACATTTTAAAAAGGAAATGATATAATGTAAAGCAATTACTTCCAAATAGTATTGGAGAGCCCAGTTTTTAGTTTCCCTAAAAATATTTACATTTAAATATGATTGAAGAATGCAATGTGTGAACCTTGATTGGATCAGGTTGGGGGGGAGGACACAAGCTATCAGAAATAATGTTGGTATTTTATGCTAGAAATTTGCTAAGAGAGTAGATCTTAAATGTCCTCCACCCCCCACCCCACAACAAACACACAAAGGTAACTATGTGAGGTAATGGATTTGTTAACTAACCTTATTGTGGTAATCCATTTCACAATACGTGGGCATATCAAATCATCACGTTGTACACCTTAAACTTATACAATGTTATTGGTCAATTATATCCCATTAAAGCTAGAAAAAAATATTGTTGGGGACAATCAGGAAAATTTAAATGTGAACTAAATTTAGATATAGATTTTTGTTAATTTTCTTAGATCTGACTAAAGGTTGGGGTTAGGTATATCCTTTTCCTTAGGTGATACCTGCTGAAGCATCACCTAAGAAAAAGGATGAAGCATCATGATGCCTGCAATTTAGTTTCAAGTGTTTCAGAGAACATACATAAAGCAAATATAGCAAAATGTTAACAATGACTAAATCTAGGTGGAAGGTGTATGAACAGAAATCATATTGTTCTTTCAATGTTTCTGTATGTTTAAAAATTGTCATAATGAAAATCTGAAAAATGACAATACGACTGAAGGTTTCTAGCCTGTGATCATTTATTTGCTTATCAAGAGAACAAAGCAGTCACCCAATTATTCATAAAATATATCATCAGATGATAATATAGCTCAAATAGTTTTAGATGGAACTGGCTGGGGTCAAGTATAAAGCCTAGGACATATTGGCACCGGACCGTGAACTCCATGAAGCCAGGACACCATTGTTTTCACCATTATACGTCCAGCACTTAGTCAAGTGCTAGGAAATAGTAGGTGGTAAGTAAATTTGTTCATTGAATGGTGAAGTAAATGTGAAAGTTCTATGCTTAGAATAGATATTCCAACCCTTTTGTGTTTTCTACGTACCACTGCTTTTTGGAAGACAAAAAATATACAAATAATATTTATGCATCTGGTACCTTTGGCAACTCCCTACCGTTAATTCAATAACTCAGTTTTGAATTTCAAGCCAAAACATTTAGAAACCTGTGCTTTTCAGAGCTAAGTTATGTGTAAGCCTACCTTAATATTTTTATGAAGTTATTTTCTTTAAGGCTGCTTTCACTCGATACTTTATTTTTAAAATAACAGTCAGATTTTACTGGATAAAAATAGTGACTATTAATGACAAAATCAAATGAAGGATTCTTCTGAAACTTTAAAGGTAAATTATCAAACATAACAAAATTATTTCAAAATCATTTAAATTTATTTTCCATTAAAACTAGTAGTCATCTATCATTCATTTTTAGAATCAACCTTTATGCAAATCTAGATGATGATAAAGGCCACACAGGGACAATCTTATCAAACAGTTGATAAGTTTTCTAGATTGATTTGTTCTTGTATTTAAAAATGTCTTTCAAGTTCTGATATATTCCAACATTTTTAACAGCATTATGATATTATTAGGGAGCTGATCACCAAATCCGAGGGCGTTTGCTGCATCATTTTGACACTACCAACCACTTCTTTTTGTTTTTTCAGATGTTGAGGAAGTATGGTAATTCTCTGGAGAGGCGATGGGGCCTAGTGACAGACTGGCTACAAGGGATAAAGGCAAGAGTGGAGAAATCTGCTTTTTAAAAAGCAGGTTTCCATGTAACCCCTTTTTATCACTATTATTTATATTAATCTCTAAAAATTTTATTCTTTTATTTTATTTTTAATTTTTTTCCGGTACGCGGGCCTCTCACTGTTGTGGCCTCTCCCGTTGCGGAGCACAGGCTCCGGACGCGCATGCTCAGCGGTCATGGCTCACGGGCCCAGCCGCTCCGTGGCATGTGGGATCCTCCCAGACCGGCGCACGAACCCGTGTCCCCTGCATCGGCAGGCGGACTCTCAACCACTGCGCCACCAGGGAAGCCCCTATTCTTTTATTTTTATTTAGACCAATCTTAATCTGATCCTAAAGCTGTTAGGCTTAAAATAAAGTAACCTTATCCAACGGTAGAATAAGAGGTTTGCCATGTGGAAGTGAAAAATACTCTATAGACCAGGAGAATTAATTTACCTTACTGCTCCAGGAGCCTGAGGACCACTGTGATATAATAGCGAGCCTGAGGGCCACTGTGATATAATAGCGAGCATACTCTATTTTGAAGACTTGGGGCCGAGTCCAGGCTTCCTTTTTAGTTGCTCTTCTGACCCTGGGCAAGTCATTTAATTTCTCTGGGTCTTCCTCCAGCCTTATAATATCACTGACTCTAAACAAAGAACTGACAGAAAAGAAAATGATAAAACAGTCAAGTAGAATATGCTGGGAAAATTTGCCAGGGAGTGACATGGATAGTATGTATTTGATATTAATGAGTAAAATGAAAAAACAAACAAAGTATGTATTTTAGCAGGAACTTTAGGAGGAAAGAAAAAGCCATTGTGATTTTTATAAAATGAATGAACATTGGAAACGAAAAAAAATTTGTGCTGGTGAAACAATTTGTTACACAGTTGCCTATAAAATACAAAGCAACAAAGAATAGACTTTAGTCACACAGATTCAAGAGAATAAACATCTGGCTTTACATACTTGAGGGAAACTAAGTCACAACAAAACCGGAAACCACCATGATGGATTCCAGCAACAATTTAGTAGCCGAAAGCATGGCATTATTTTGGAATGTAAAAAATATAGCCTTATAGGGCTTCCCTGGTGGCGCAGTGGTTGAGAGTCTGCCTGCCAATGCAGGGGACACGGGTTCGTGCCCCGGTCCAGGAAGATCCCACAGGCCGCGGAGCGGCTGGTCCCGTGAGCCATGGCCGCTGAGCCTGCGCGTCTGGAGCCTGTGCTCCGCAACGGGAGAGGCCACAACAGTGAGAGGCCTGCGTACCGCAAAAAAAAAAAAAAAAAAATATATATATATCTCTATATATATAGCCTTATAGTCCTACTTTTAAGAAGTTTATCATCAAATTCATAAGAGATAATTAGGTAAACTATAATTATCCTTATTTTGGAAAGAACTTGTCCCAAATGTAACTCATTTGGTAGTATTACCTTACCTGAACTATATTATTCAAAAGTGGACTATAAAAGGATATTGGAAAATCGGGTATCTCGGTGATTAGGCATGAAAACGATAACACATTTCACAAAATAAGAAATACAAATGGCTAGTTGATCTATGAAAACGTCCTCAATAGCATCAGCAATCAGGGAAGTGCAAGTTAAAACCACAATGATAAGTATACACCCCCACCAAGCTGGCAAAGCTGAAAAGGACTGACTATACCAAATGTGGTTGAGGGTGTGGAGCCATGAGGCTCATACACAGTGGGCGTGAGTGTAACACTTTAGAAAACAGTGCGGCATGATTCGTTCACATTTATAATACACATAACCCCTCCCAGGTATACACCATACAGAAACTCACATAGACGTGATGGAATACATACATCAGGAATATTTACAGCAGCATTTGTAACAGTTCCAAACTGGAACAACCTAGATATCCATCAACAATAGAATGCCTAATAAATGACGGCATATTGCTACAATAGAACACTGTAATATGCAACAATTAAAATGAATAAATTACAGTTATAGGAACAACATATGGATTAAAAACGATGTTGAGCGAAGCCGTAAGCACAACAGGTTACATATTATTTTGTTCCAAGAAAGGGCAAAACCAAACAATATACTGTTTAGGGATGCATGCATACTTGTGATAAAACAATAGGGAAAAGCAAGGAAATGGTTATCACAAAAGTTAGAATAATGGTTACCTCTAAAAGGGAGGGAAAGAGTTGTGTTCAGGAAGGTCACTGGGGGACTTCTGGGGTGCTGGCAGTGTTCCAGTTCTTGACCTGGTTGGTTACATGGAGGTTTCTTTTACAATTACTCATTACAACTGAATAACTGATTTATGCATTTTAATGCATATGTCACAATAAAACCGCTAAAAGTAACTGAATATTGTAGATGGAATTTCTAGAAAGAAATTTTGCTAGAAAATTTAGCTTATGAAATCTTTGACAGCAAAAGCTACTGATGTGGGATAATAAAACTGATAAAATAGTTTCTCAGACGAGCTCACTTTCAAGTGTAGCAGAGAAGAGCCTTATACAAATATCCCATTGTTATATTTTAACATAGTATGCAGATCTTTATCACACAAACTGATGTACCAGGCAAAGAACGCTGTTACCTAAAACTTCGGATTTTTTTTGGAATTGCGAATGAACCAGCTGTTTTCTCCTCTGGATTAATAAGAAGTAAAAGAACTAAAAAGATGCAGACCAAGTTGGAAATGTTTGAACTTCCTTCTCTGCCGTCACCAGTTCCAGCTGTTTCCTCCAGTTACCATACTGGGTGAAGTGGGTGGATCTTGCCTAGTAAGCTAGTGCAGCTGTAACTTCATCAGTAGGTGGCTGAGTGCCATTCTGCCTCTCAGCACCAAAGTTCTCTGGTGGAGCCACTGACAACGAAAACAGATCAGGCTGCTGAAAAGCTCCATGTGGTTACACACTTTTCTGGAGGCGTCCTCTGCTGGGTTGCAGAGCTCTGATGTTTGCATTCTTTTCATCCAAAGCTCTCAGAGGTGCTTGGCTTTACAAAATCCCCTCATTCTGTATATTTTATTCTTGCCATTTTCACCAAAAAATTAGGAAGAGGAGCAAAATCCAAAAAGATTTACTTTGTAGCCATGTGGGGCCATCACTTGCTGGTTTGATTTCCTGTGAGTCTTATTTGGAAGGACCTGGCAAGGACTGGTCACTAGAAGAGAGTCAAATCCAGGGTAGCTGAAAAGTAGGAGAGTTAACCTGGTTCTTAGAACTTTGGATGAAGGTCAGCTGTGCAGACGCTACTTTGTGAGTCTCTTCTTGCTTTGGCAATATCCATCTCCCTCCTCCCATCACTTTTACTGCAGCATTTTAATAAAAATGAGCCCTTGGATTTTACCCAGTTACAAGTTTCCTTGGCCTATTTGCATATGGTGGTGGCAGGAGTGTCAGGAACTCTAAGCTCCCCAGATCTGCCTATAAACACTTGCGCCTCACCCCCTGAGGTGGAAAGACCTGTAACAGCCACTACTGCTGCTTCCAGACGAGGCAAGGAGCGCCAGAGTCCGGAGACCCAACTGTGGAATCTGCTTCCTTTCATCACTGCTGCTTTTATCTCGTTCTCACACTATTCACCAGGACAGGTTCAAGACAGATTTCTGAGGATTCTGAAATCCTTTTATCTTAAAATTTCTTGTCCTAGAGAACCACCCTTTCAACCTCATGAGTTTTTTACTTTGATTTACTTTCCAGGATAACACCCGTAGGAAGACCTGCCTAAATGGTAATGATATTTTACAAAGGAAACAGCCTTTGAGTCAGACCTGAAACACAGGCCAAAATTTCTTGATGACGGTAATGGACACTGATTAACAACCAATACCAGCTCTCCAAAGCTCCAAACCACAAGCAAGAATGATTCCTGAAAGGGAGGCACTGCTAAATTCTCCTCCTGAAAAAGTCAAAAATCCTTCCACACTCTCCGGGAGGATGGCTCCCTTCCCTCGTCCCAGCAATTCGCCTCCTTTTTCACTAAAGACTCAAGTTGTGTGACTCCTCACTCAAGCCGCACCCCTATTTCCTTGCGGGGAGGGGGACGGGGGGGGAGAGGGATGTGTTACAACTCTCATCTTTACAATGCTACGCAGTTTACAAAGCGCTTGCACTTCCGTAAAACTCCTCTGAGCTCCGCGAGGGAGGGAGGGAGGCATTCATTCATTCATTCATCAAACATTTGCTCGGCCCGACCACGCGTTACCGGGCGCTGGGTCTCGCCCCACACGGCGGGAAGGGTGGGGCGCTCGCTCCCTCGAGCAGGTGCAGTGGATCAAGCTGTAAGATAACTTCTCGCTCAGCTGGGCTTTTCGAAGGCCCGTTGGGGCCAAATGCCTCACCTTCGGGTGATGCGCGCCCGAGCATGGCCGCGCGGCCTGGGCCTCCTCCTTGCTCCCCAAGGAGCAGTCACCACCTGCTCTGAAGGAAACCGCTACGGAGCAAGCTCTCTCCACTGCCCTCGGGTCAGGGGTAAGCTTAGGCGGCAGCTTAGGCTCCACGCGGCTCCTCCCCTTCCTCTCCTCAGTTCTGACGCGGCCGTAGAGGCGGCGGCAGCGGCGGCGAGTCCCGCGGCCCGAGGCGCACCCACCCGCTCGCCGAGCCCGACTTCCTCTTCCCTTGGAGCGTCATCGTGCGCGCCAGAGGCGCCCAGGGCGGGGTGGTTGGAAAGGGGAAAAAAAGCCCGCGGAGGAAGCCTCCGAGCGGAGAGAAAAGGGAGGGGGGAAGAGAGCGGTTGCTAGGTGACTTGCGTCATCGGTCCGCGCCGTTTTCCTCCCGCCCCTCTCTCTGGAGTGAGGCGAGAGCCCCGCACTGAGCGAGGGAGACAGCGAGCTGAGCTCGGGGCGCTACCGCCGCCGCCGCCGAGAGCGTGAGAGCGAGGGAGCATCCGAGAGACCCAGCGCCCTTGCACTGGCCGCCGCCGAGACCTCCGCCTTAACCTGGGCCAGAGGGAGCCGCGGCCACCCCTCTTCTCCCCCCCTCGCCTTCCCGGCCGGCAGCGGCGGCTGCACACGCCGGAGCCCGAGCCCGAGCCGGAGCCGGCGGCTGGGGGGCAGGGAGGCGGCTACCTCGGGTCGGGACTAGTCGGCTGCTCCGCGGTGAGAGGACGCTGAGGAGGGGCCGGAGCTTCTGTCCGTTCCGGGGCGCGGGGCGAGGGACCCCCAAGGTGGAGGGAGGGGGTCCCAGCCGCAGCGACACATGCTGGAGCCGGGAGCGGGGGCGGCGCCGAGCGGAGCCGGCCGGGTCCCCCACCTCGCCGCCGCCTCGGCCACCCGCTCGGGGCCGTAGCATCTTGCCCTGGAGTGTATGAGCCGGGACCCCAAGCCCGGCAACCACCCCCCGACCGGGGGGGCGGGGACCCCGATGTGAAGCGGAGGCCGGGGCGGCGGGGACAGCAGGACCGGCGCCGCCGTCCTTTCCTTCCCTGCCCCCTCCCCTCCGCCCCCTCGGGGGTCTTCTTTCTCGGCCAGTCGCCGGCCCCCCGGCTCCTCGGCAGGACTCCGGGAGGAGTTCTTAGAGCCCCCTCCCCTGCCCCAGCCCCGAGGGCGGCGGGGCCGGGGGGGACCCGGGGGGCCGGCCGCAGCCTCCGCCCAGAAGAAACTTTTCAAAAACAAAATCCGGAGCCTCCCAAACGTGACTGTCTGGGGAGAAGTGGCCCGGGACGGGCAGAAGACCCAGCCTGAAGAGACCCAGGAAGAGGAAAAGAGGAGGTAAGCGGGGCCGCCGCCTCGTCTGCTCCGGCGGCGCGGAAGAGTCCCGGGTGGCCGCCGGCTTAGCGATCCCAGCCCCGCTTCTTCCTCACTAACGCTCCGGAGCCTGCCACAGCTGCCGTCTGAGTCCCAAGAAGGAAGGGAAGCACCCCACGCTCTCAGCGCCCGGCTCTTCTCTAAAGTGTGAGTGGCCCTGGGAAAGGGAATGGAGGGATAGAAAGGGGGAGGATGCTGGGGCGTCCTCCGGAGTTTTGCCAGTGTTTTCCAGGAGTGTTGGGAGTGTATAGACGAGAGGGGTACCTTAGTCCTCACTGCGGGGAGAGGCATCCGGCAGTCCAGTGTTTTGTAATCTTTTAGCGCTCTGTACGTGTGATACGCAAGCCCACAGGTTTCTCTTCGAGGAGTTCAGTCTTTCTCCAGGGTGGACACTTGGTATCTTTCTGGCCAGTAATTGGCAAAAGGAAATTGAGGAAGCCAGAGCCTGTGTGCGCACAAGGGACATCTCTGTAATACACATTTTCCTGGTACACCCGGTGGGAAACAGCGCGGTAGTTTTTGTCTCTGGGCAACTCTTATTTGGTTACCAAGTGGGAACCCCTGACTCTTTGAACCCCTGAAAGTAAAATTGCTTTCTTTTTTGCCAGTCTTCCTTGAGAGATTTCATTTCAGTACCTAGTGGTACAGGAATTTTTTTTACCTTCTCATTTCCTGGGTGCAGTTCCTGCGTATCAGGAAGACACTGTAACATTTCAGTTACTCAGGAAATTCTGAGGTCTTTTGATCACAACTGATTTGGGGGAGAGCATTTAGTACTTTAACCAGTTTATAAAAGGTGTTAAATTTTTTCCTTACCCAAATGCTTTTTTTTTTTTTTTCAGTAGCATATGTCCTAATTGCTAGCAGTTTTTTGTTTGTTGGAATGACTTGAAGCTTTGCTTATTTGAGTTATCTCATGCTTCTGTATCAAATGAGGAGAAACTTCTGATGTTTAATTCTTTGAAGAATGATGTTTTTCCTCTTCCTTTATTTTAAAGGTGAAGTCTGTAAAATCTTTGATTTGTAATTTAGGTATCCCCTCAGAGTGCCAAATTAAGGTGCAGGAAAGTAATTGACATTTCATATGTTTATACAGACCTTAGGGTTAAGCATAGGGTGGAATTTTATATAACAGAACATAGGCAGTACTAAGAATTATGGCCCCTCCAGACAATTGTGTGAGCTTACACTCTCTGAAGCCACTGCTGAGAGAAACTTTGTGGGAGTGAATGTAAGCCTGGGATTATCCATGCTAACTTTTCCATTCAGGATCTTGATTAAACTTATTTAAAACTTTCTCAAACGCTTTTCATCCTGTACTTTTTCTCTTTTGAAGAGATGAATTCTGCAAGTTTACTAGCCCCTGAATTATGTAACAGTTCATTTATTTATCCCAAACCTGTCTCTTTATAAAGTTTCAAGACACATCCCAAGTTCGTATTTTGAGAATTGCTAGAACAAGCTGGAGTTCATCTTTTCCTGGTTTGTAGATTTTGATTGTTCCTCTTTACTATCATCTTTCCTGACTTTTTGTCTTAAAATAATTTCTTCCATCCTTTTGATCACTTTGCCCTCCTCTGGAACTTCACCAGCTGTTTTGTTTTTCTTTATATGCCTTTTCCTTGTTATGCTTTTGTTAGGAACCTTTAATTCTACTTTAAATAAGTACTGGCATCAAAATATTGAGTAGTGGGGCTTCCCTGGTGGCGCAGTGGTTGAGAGTCCGCCTGCCGATGCAGGGGACACGTGTTCGTGCCCCGGTCCGGGAAGATCTCACCTGCTGCGGAGAGGCTGGGCCCGTGAGCCATGGCCGCTGAGCCTGCGTGTGCTCCGCAGCGGGACAGGCCACAGCAGTGAGAGGCCCATGTACCGCAAAAAAATATATATATATATTGAGTAGTGGATGTAGTGTTAGACGTGGAATCAAAACCAAATTTCGCGGGCTGCCCTGGTGGCGCAGTGGTTGAGAGTCCGCCTGCCAATGCAGGGGGACATGGGTTCGTGCCTCGGTCTGGGAAGATCCCACATGCCGCCGAGCGGCTGGGCCCGTGAGCCATGGCCGCTGAGCCTGCGCGTCCGTGAGCCTGTGCTCCGCAACGGGAGAGGCCAGGACAGTGAGAGGCCCGCGTAACGCAAAAACAAAACAAAACAAAAAAAACAAATGTCTCTAGATCTGTTATTTTGTGACCTTGAGGAAGTCACGTATCCCATACTTCACAAACATAGGAGGAAGAGAAATCTAGTCTTGCATAGGCTGTTTTTTGGGGGAGGAAAGGAGGACAGACCAACAAACTAGTTTGAACGTAGATTATACTCCATCAAAGTTGCTTACAACTTTGACTTGTATTGTTTTGACTATAGATTGGTTAAAAATCATGGTAATGTTTAATGTATATTTGGGTAGCAAAGAAACAACAGAGCATTTGTGGGTCCCTGCCTTTGAGATGCTTTTGCTTATGGGTGGCAGAGGCAGTGAAACGCAGATTGCACAAAATTATATAAAAGGAGGAATGGACCAGTTTTTATCTACGATGACTGTATGTCAGCAACTGTTTGATACCTTATAGATGTACATGTATTTGTACATTTTTCACTAGAGAAATGTTGATGTTGGACTATACAGAACTTATTGGAGTGTCTGAGCCAGGAGAAAGTGTTTTTTAGGAAGAAAAGAACAGGTGGAGATAAAGTGTTTAAGACTTTTGGAATTGGAGGGGGTGAGGGACAAATGTAATTAGGAAGTTAGCTTATGGGAATACAGAGGGAGATTGTTGAGTAGGCTTAGGGCCAATTTGTGTTTGTGTGGATACATGTTTACAGCCCAAAGAATGAACTGAGAACAATGTTTCTGAGAGGGTAGTTTTAGACCACTGAGAAGAAATTGTATTTTAAGCCAAGAGGCATTATACCTGGATTAGGGTTTTGTTTTTCTAGAGAACTAACATTTTTACACTACAGTCATTGAAGAGCTGTACAGATGGAGGGGTGAAAAAGAAGGTGCTTCCAGTATGTTGGTATGGTGCTAGTGGTTTCTTATAAAAAGTAATTCAGAAATGAGGCAGTGGACTTTGGACATTAAATTTTAGGGTTAAAGTTGGATACCAGTGCAATCTTAAGACAGTAAAATAATGAGTGATATGCTGAAAATGTAGAATTGGGAGTCATTATAAAAGTACTAAGGTTTCTCTATAGTGCTGATGGAGAGTAGAGAGCTGAAAAATGGGTATTTGGGGGGAGGGGAATGTGTTAAAGTTAGCAAAGATACAGGAAGAGGAGAATGGATGAGACTCTCCTGTTTTAAAAGTGAATAAGGGTTGAAATTGAAAAAGGAGGAACAACCTTTAAACATGGGCACCAGTTCAGTCTTAGGGCAGATGATTATTTTTGAAATACTAACAAGCTTTTTGTAAGGTATATAGGTCCCTTGAGATTGTTCAGAAGAATATATAAGATTTCAGTGTTAAGGAACTTATACATAAAAGGACAGATCTGTTTCATCAAATTCATGTTTTTAAAGTTTGCCTTTCATTATTATCCTAAGTTTGGTCTCTAACATGACGAAGTGGGGCTAAAAATAGCTGGCAAAGAACGCTGCTTCCCCTGCTCGCAGTTGGTGTGTGTCTTTGTGTCCCATACAATGGAGGGGATATCCCTGTGTTGGCACAGCAGTGCTGAAAATGCCTTAAAAAAAAAATC